CACAGGCTGAGACGTTGTATATTTGAGAGTTTTGCTGTTGAAAGCCTGACAGCTGTAGTCTCCACTATGAATCGTCTGCATGTTCTTCACTTGTATCTGTGCTCCAGTAAAAGACAACAACTCTCCATTGAAAAGCCATTTAAAGTGAGCTGCAGGTCTGGAGTCAGCTGAGCAGGACAGAGACACGTCTGAACCTTCCTCATAATAATCAAGTAAAGGAGAGCTCCTCAAAATGACATCATCAGGTCCATCTGAAAATATCAAATATAAATACACAGTTTAGAGTTGGACATGGGATTGTTTGTGCGTCTGAACTGTAGACATGCTTTACTCACAGCTGATGGAGACTTCTGCTGGGGCACTGGTGCTGCTACTGAAAGGATCAGACACTTTACATGTGAATGGTCCGTGGTCATAGCGCCACACAGTGGCTATAGTGAGAGTTGCTCCTCCATCAGTGAGGTGCACTCTGTCACTGAGTGTAACTTCAGAAGTGCCATTGAACCAGAGGAAAGTTGTCAGGTTGATCCCATCAGCAGAACAGGAGAGAGTCACAGAACTGTTGAACTCCACTAAGTCTGAGCTGCTCACTGTGATGCTCACATTAGACACTGGCTCTGAGGGAGGGGGACAGCACATGTTAGTCTACATATGAAAATAAAGCGTGGCTGGTGTTACAGATTGTTCACTAACAGTAAAAAACACTTTGTTTAACTGATAACAGATGAAATGCCAAAAGGGTGCCTTTGTCCCTCAAGGAAAATAGACTCAAAAATTCTAACAAGCTTCTGCCAATATTAGTTTTGAATTCATGTGCTCATTAAATAAATAGTGAATAATAATGTGTGGCAGGTTGGGGTATATGCCACTTTTCCTCGCAGGCACACCTACAGTTGTGGATAAAATTGTTGGTACCCCTCTGACAATGAAAGAAAAATCAGCAATAATCACGGAAATAACTTGAAACCTTGAGAAAAAGCAATAATAAATATAAAATTTACTGAAAATTATCCAACAAAAAATCAAACATTTCTTTTCACCTGTGATTCAACAGAATTTTTAGAAAAAAAACAAAATGATTTCTGTAACTGTCGATGAGACTTCTGCTCTGTTCAACTAGTATTTTGACCCATTTCTTGTGAGCAAATTGTTGTAGTTGCCTGAGGTTTGAAAGATGCCTTCTCCAGACACCATGTTTCAGCTCATTTCACAGATGTTCAGGAGATCTGGGCTCACAGAAGAACACTCCAGAACAGTCCAGTGTTCTGTTCTTAGTCATTCTTGTGTGTTTTTAGCTGTGTGTTTGGGGTCATTATCCTGTTGGAAGTCCCATGACCTACGACTGAGACTGAGCTTTCTGACACTAGGCAACACATTTTGTTCCAGAATACCTTGATAGTTTAGAGATTTCATTGTACCTTGCACAGATTCAAAACACCCTGTGCCAGATGCAGCAAAACAGCCCCAGAACAAAACCAAGCCTCCTCCGTGTTTCACAGTAGGGACAGTGTTCTTTTCTTAGTCTGCTTCATTTTTGAGCTTCACTTTTGTCTCATCTGTGCAAAAAAACATTCTTCCAGAAACTTTGTGGCTTGTCAATATGTCAATATGTGGTGGATGGTGCGATCTGACACTGATGTACCTCGCCCTTCGAGTTCACATTTAATTTGTTTGGAGGCTGTTCTGGGCTCTTTGGTTCCATTCGTATGATCCATCTCTTCAATTTGTCATCAATTTTCCTCTTGCGGCCACGTCCAGGGAGGTTGGCTTCAGTCCTGTGGACCTTAAACTTGTGAAGAACGTGTGTAACTGTAATCACAGGAACATCAAACTGCTTGGAGATGATGTTATTGACTTTATCTTTAACCTGCTTGTCTATTATTTTCTTTCTAGTCTCCTGACACAGTTCTCTTCTTCTCTTTCTCTGGTCCATGTTCAGTATTGTGTCCATCATGTCTCCAAACAGCACAATGACACATGTCGCCCTTTAAACAGACAGACTGACCGAGAACAAGTTTGAAGACACCTGTGATGTAGATTAGAGACACACCGAAGTTTAACATGTCTCTATTGTCCAATTATTTACAGTCTTTTCTAGAGGTACCTTCATTTTGTCCACGCCAGTTTCATTAGTTTTTTTTTTGTTTTTTTTTTTGTAAATAATTCTGTTGAACAACAGTTCAAAAACACTGTCTGATTTTCATTGGTTATTTGTCAGGAAATTATTTCTTTTATTATTATTATTATTATTATTATTATTATTATTATTATTATTATTATTATTATTATTATTATTTTATTGCTTTTCTCAGTTTCACATGAGGTCAAAGCACCAGACCGTGGTCCTCACAGAGGCTACTCTAGGCATCAAGTGCAGTAGGAAAGTGTCAATTGTGGTGTTGCAGACAGCGTGGGTGAGTTTAGTTTTCGATTGTCTAGGGGACGGGGGGTGGCTCTCATTGTTGTGTCGGCCTACGGGCTGTTGGTCACTGATGAAACCGGCCACAGCTGTGAACATATGAACTTTGGTTCAAATGACACACTCTATTTTATGTTGGTGAACTTTGTGTTGGAGAACCATGGGTGATGGCCTTTGGCTGTTAGCATATTTTCACATGTCAGAATAAAAATATAGATATTTAAATAAATGAATGAATCATACATTTACTCAGTGTATGTGTCATATCAGTCCCACAGACCCATGTTTGTCTTTTCTATTTTTCCTGTCATCATAGACAGGTGGAATTATTAATAATGCCTCATCTGGTCACAAATGCAACATTTATAATTACCGTGAACGTTCAGTGTAGAGGTCCCAACTTGCACCATACCTCCTGCTGGTATAATGTTAACACTGTACTCTCCAGTGTCATT